CATGCGCAAACAGCCCACCACTCCTCGAGCAAGCACACCAGGAGCCGGTACGATCCCCCGCCAAGGTCCATCACCCTCTTCTGTAACGCAGTCTTCAAGCCCTTTCCGGTCGACTAACTCCCTAGCTCCAGCTTCAATTAGGACTTCTAAGCGCTTGAGCAACTACAACTCCGTCATCCCTCCCCCAGAGCCCCTGAATACCGACCCAGACATGCACCCTCTCAAGAGACGTTTCGAGCCTGTGTTGTTGGACAGATACCCTGCCAAGGATGCGACAGACGAGATCAGCCGTCGTGGCAAGTTCCCAGACTACGTTCCCATGTTTGCTTTCCCCAACGACATCCATATCGTGTCTTCAGACGAGCGACCCCGTTCCACCTGGCACGGCTTCACTATGACCTCGGACGACAACTCCAAGATCTATGGTATCACCATCATAATCTGGACTGCCCTGACCTCTGAGGTTGCAGATGAAGTGGAAAAGAGATGCGAGCAGTGGCGGCAGAGTCACATGTCAAACGAAGAGCGGGAGCTGGCGGCCAGTCTCGGTGTGCGACTTGCAGCTGAGCGTGCCCACCTCTCTCAGCTTCTCGCAAAGCTTCCGACAATTCCTTCTGGATCCTCCGCTCGCGACATTCTGGATGACCAGATCAGTACCGTAGAGGAGAAGATCAGTCTCATGACGGAAATGTTGAGACCACTACGACACGGTGCCGCTTCCAAGATCGACGGCTTGACTGCTGGAGAGAGTGGTCTGTGGGCTCCTAGAGCCTACGGTATCTTGGGAAGAGACAACACCAGAATGTCGTTCTGGAAAGAGTGGCTGCGAGCTGTTATCGTGCCAATGACCGACGGCGCTGTGCTTCGGGTGCCACCTAGCTCCCCTAAGGTTGGCCGCTGGCAACCCCTTGAACGATATGTTGTCAACCTCTGTACCGAGGCGTTCAGTCCACTGGGCTCCAAAACGCAGGTTGAGCTGGGCGTGCGGGAGTTGCGACTCTACTGCCGGAAGGAGGCCATCAACGAGATCCCTGGGGCAAGGACCATTGACATCTACGCCCTGTTCAGGTGTTTGTCCACGGAAAACATCGTTGCCTTGTTCGAGTATGCCATGTCGGAGTCTCGCATCATTTTCATGTCCTCCCATACTGGCATGCTCCATCTGGCATGTCACGCACTGGTCAACTTGTTGTATCCTCTTAAGTGGGCGAGCATCTTCATACCCGTGCTTCCCGCGCGTCTCATCTCTGCCTTGGAGGCACCCTGCCCATACATCGTTGGTATCGAGCGACGATATGAAAAGATCGAGCTTCCGGACGACGATTATGTGTTGGTCGACCTGGACATGGATACGATCGATGCTACTGCGCAGCCTGTCCGTCTGCCACGACAGCACCGCCGCAAGCTCATCTCTCTGCTGCACGTGGCTGCCCCGCACCATATCCGGTATGGAGTGGCTACCGGCCCTCCGCCGTACGCGATGGAGTCGTACCCGTACGATGCCTTCTCGGTCGAGAACGACACATTATTCAACTCCAATACTGCCGCTAGCACCCTCGGCAAATGGGTCACACAGAACTCTTCGTCGTTTGGAGAGCCGGAACCCCCAACTCGGTGCGACCTCCAATCTTTAATGCTTTCTTGCATTCAAAGGTAGGCGACTATAGCAAGTCGGACCGACCCGGCACTAGCAAGTCCGGTAAAACTAGCCCGCAGTCTTCTGTTTCACCGGTGTCCATGAACTTTCCGCCAATGCCAACCACGCCAGTGTCACGAAGCGACTCCGGCTTCGCCCAGACTCTGAGGGAGAAGAAGTCGGGTCACTTTGACGAAAAATCTCGACGCAGCTCGTCCTTTGGGATGGACAAGCATCCGCCGTTGCATCGGCCCAGCTTGCCTTTCCTGAGCGGCCACAACCCTAGCATGTCGGTATCCGCCATCTCGGTCGATTCGCAGTCTTCGTATGGAGGCTACACGCCGGGTTATGCCCCGTCGACCTATGCGCAGTCCACGTTAGCAGCCTCTACCATCATGCCTAACATGCTGGTACAGCCCGTGCGGAATACCGATACCATGGTTTGGGTTGAGGGTCACTGCTTCAACTGGATTCCCCACGACATGTCGTCTACATGCTCGGTCTGCGACGAAAAGTCTGAGGGAGATGGCATTTACGAGTGCTCTCACTGCGATGCGCATGCTCATAACCGCTGCCTCGGGCAAGTCTCGGTAGTATGCAAGGAAGCATTCCATGCGGATCGTGTACGAGCTGCCTTCGTCCGATGTCTCGCCAGTTTGCTGTACACTTACAGGAAGCACCTCGGTCGTCCTACCCGGGAGCAAAAGAGCAATGGCCAGCTCTACTCCTTCGATATGAACGGTTTCATTAAGAGTCTTCCATATGATCAACAGGAGTATGCTACAATGTTGAGAGATACTCAAGGTAAGATTCTTTTAGCGGCCTTTGCGCGTTCATGTCATGCTAATTGTTGCCAGCTTTCAACGAATTCATCCACGAACGGGAGACTCACTCGGCAACGCATTCTTCGATCCGTCTCTTCGATGAGATCATCATGGCCAAGAAGGCTCGTGGTCGGCCCGGACTCTCGACGGGATTCTCACGTCTTTCGACCCTCCGCATGTCGCACGGCGCATCGAGCAACGTGTCCGGCTTTGCTGCGCCTTCCAAGCTCAAGATACCCACTTATCTGGGCGACACTTCCGACCACATGTGGCGGACGGCTTCGGTGCCAGTTCCCAGCGCTAAATTCCCCGGCGAGTACCGCACCGTCGTCACTCGGATTCCCACCAAGCTGGACCCCAGTCTCATGAGAGAGCCCCGAGCGATCCAGGGTGTCCCCCGGGCAGAGCAACGGACACGCGGTCTCATCCGGAAGCAAGTTCCCAGCATGGTTGGCAGTCCGCCCAACTAGATGAATCGACGATGACAAATGCCGGCACAACACCGAGCCATGATTCGACGACCATTTCATGTTCTGCCTCCCTGCACTGTACGATAGGGAAACTGTATGTTTAATTAATGGCGGGAGGCAGAACTGTACAAAAACATCGGCATAAGGGAGGAGTCTGGGGATAAAAAGAGGCCAGGAGGTCCTCATTAGAAGCCGTCTTTTCCGCCAGTCTTTAGTTTTCAGTTGCGAGCAGGGATTGGATTTTTGTAGCCATTTCCGGATAGTTGCATTGTTGTCAAGCAGGAAATGCACACTAGCAGGCAAGCAGAGAAGAAGCGCATCAGTGAGCGTGGGGAATCCTTAATCATGGCAAGGCTCCACGCCGCTGGCTGTCTGTAGCCGCGACGTGGTTGGGACCTCATGTGCCCGTTATTTTGCGCCAGAATAGATCAAGAAGACGAAGTGGAAACTGAGTATCAAAAGCCCCGCGAGGTCTTGAGATTTTATCGATTCGAACCGCGTGTCCACCTCTACTGTGATTCGGTTTATTGTGCGAGGGAAAGCTTTGCCTGCCGTTTCCGTATACATCTTCA